TGATCAGCATTTCTTTTCACCTATTCGCGGCTTCTTGCAAACAGATGAAATAAATGAATTATAAGTTGCGCTGCAGCTTATCCACGACGTGATGTGCTGTTTTTGAATTACAATGCCGCTCAAGGCAATATTTCACAAGGACACGGCAAATCCCTGTTTACTGACGCCGAAAGCCGGCACCACCATCGGGTTTGTGATATATCATATTATGATATTGCAACGTTGATGATGTTTCTGTTGTGCGGTGTAAGAATTCGTCAGAAATTAAAAGATTTGGCATGTCCATGTAATTTGTTGAATTGAACCACTGATCAAGAAACGCAGATATACAATCTCATCAAAACAGAAGGAATCGATGTCGTCTTCCATGCATATTTGGTCATTTACTAGTTTGCTTGCTCGTTTATCCAACCTAATTCTTATATGTCTATGTATTTATTTACTCGCTTGTTTGTTTATCTACTCATTTGTTTGCTTACATATTTACCTGCTTACTTTTTACGCAGTCGCGTACTCATTTAGTTACACGCATGCATACGTACATATTTTTTTGCTAACTTACTTAAGCATCATAGGGAAAATGGGCTGATATATACTTCATAAAGTTTCAACTGCCCTATTAACGGGACAGTGCACCTTTCGTCCCTTAAAAAAAACTGTAAAACGTAACATACTTGTAATGCGGAGAGTTTCAGAGCCCAGTTTTAGATTTTCATTTTGATTAATGGTGTTCTCTGACACTTAAAGTGATAAAGATATTCAAAAGGATGTCTGATTTAAATATACCAGATAATTGTTTTTTGATGTATACTCTTTGCCGTGCCTATGATTGTTTTTCTATGAATTGCACAGGGAGCGAGCTGAGAGCTTCCTGGGCTGAGGATGAGTTAATTTGTGAACCGTCACCTTTTTTGAACGGTATCTGACGTACAATCTCGCAAATACGTCTTCGCGCTGTGTCGCTGATCTTCATGCCCACTGTTTCTTCCAGTTGGCTCCAAGGGCAGCGACCATTTACGGTTTCCATGATGGCCACAACCATAGAACCGACTTCTTTATTCGAGTTCACCCTGGAGCTGCAAATTTGTGGACAAGTGGTGACCAACGACCAATCGGTTGCTGATGGCTCCTGGAAGAATCCATCCTGGTGGCAGCTACAGCCATTCAAAATTGACCCAAGCGAGAGTTGATGAGGACCCTGTGCTGTCGTCGGTAGTCCAATTTCATGATCTGTACTTCCAGCAGTGATTTCTTCGTTTGAATTTGTGGATTTCATAATTTTGGCAAAATCGACGTCTCCGTATTTCGTTCTGCTTCGATCGGTGCAAAGTTTACGCCTAAATATTTGTTTTAATAATACTCCACACCAAATTATATAGTAAGTGATTAATTTTATCAATTAATCAATTTCACTGACTACCGGTTAAAAGAATCAACGTATATTTACCATTCTGCAGCTGCCAACTTCGGGAGCAGCTCGTTGAGTAGGCCCGTCGAACGAGCTTTATCCAAAGCCTGGAACTTTTCTTCGGTTGAGAGTAGTTCAAGTCTGACGCTGTTCAAAACAGATGGAAATAAATCCTCGGCGTTCGCTCGATTTACCGCCATCCATCTTAACACTGTATCCAGAACCTTCGCCTCAGATTGATTCGGATCGAGACGAATGTATTCTAACGAGAGTAGATCGCAAATCACGACAGCTGGCAACAATTCGATTTGTTCTTGAACGGACTCATCGTAAAAACTATTTCCAATTTTGTATAGCAGGTCCTTCTTGACTTGGTCAGAGGCCTCGCACAAATACGTAATCGAACAACAGATTCCTAAGTTTTCGGGATTTGCTGCAGCCTAAAGGTAAGATGCATGCAGGGTGTTTTCCAATTCATAAAAATCAGCAAAAATTTTAAAACAGTGTTTAACTGCGGTTCATATCAAAGATGGCCACTTATTCAGGTTTCATGTAGCATGCGAAATGAATAAGATTCACCATTTTTCATTCAGTAAGTACCCTGGATATTTATGACCTGTGAAGCTTGACGTTTGTTCAGTTCTTCAGGAATTTCCTCTTCATGAAAGAAACGAAACTACAGCCACTGTCGCATTACAATGGACCATTAGCAACCATAGTTAAGATTAATTAAAAGTTTCGATAAAAGCCGTTCTTGACTTCTGTTGTCCCTGCTAAAGGTTAAAGAATTAGCAGGGAATGTGATAAGAGATCCAGGGGTGTTGAAT